TTGGACCGTGGACTGCGCAACAAAGGAGTGTTTCTGCAATGGGTTAAGTGTCAAGGGGTCGACCTCCGCGACGCCTGAGTCGAGTCTCCCGAGCAGTTTGGCCGCACCGAGAGGCATGGTGGACTTTGGAAGAACATATGCAGGAAGGTGGTGCACGACTAGAATGTTCTCGGACTCGCTGAAGTCATTTCTATTGCACCAGAAGCCGGCAACACGAATAATGAAATGTCACGAGTCGGCGGACTTGCGGTTGGTCAGTGGGTGCTCGGAAAGATGCTTTGTGTCCTAGAGAGTCAATTCGACGACGAGGACGTTTTCGACTTAGGAGCGCTTGCGAATGTCACGGAGGACGGAGCCGACGAGTTTTCTCGCCAGGCCGCGATCTGGGCGCTTGCCAGAAAAGCATTCGCAGAACGCGACGTCGGGAGTGGGGCGGCAAGGGTTGCTCTCCGAAAGGCAACGCCACAAGCTGGGGAATATCAGGCAGGTGATGTAGCATGCTTTCGCAAGAGGCCGACCGACGGCGAGGCTTCCGCTAAGTGGAACACTGGTTCTAGTACCGTTGGATTCAATGGCAAGAACGCATGGGTTATCACAGAGGGTGTACCTGTCTGCGTGGCTGTCGACAGGCTTCGACCGTGTACAGCGGCGGAAGCGTTGGCTTACCGATATCTCTGTGAGCACCATGACGGTGGCGTTGAGAGGTATGCGCCTCCAGACAGGCAACACCAGTCATTCGTAGACGAACGACGCGAACTGCTAGAAGTACGGGCGCAAGAGCATTCTTCGGAAGAACATCTTCTGGCGACGGACGAGCTGCAGGGAATCCCAGCAGACCCGAGTTCATAGAGGAAGCATTTCGCCAAATTGGAGAAGATGAACTGTCAGATGGCATGATCGTTCCTGTGCCGCCTGCGTCGAGGTCGTCACAGGTGATTCGAGCGCCTCTTCAGAGGTCGTTACTAGGCGACGCCCCGCACGGTATACAGAGTCGTAACGAAGTGATGCGCCGAAGGGTTGAAAATGCCGATGTAGTACAGGAAGGGTCCCCGATTATGCCTCGGAGCCAGTTCCCGAACCGGCGAACCCACTTCTTGGGGCCGCGCGCAGGGCCAGACCATCAGGGCGGGGCGTGGACATTTTAGCTCTTAGAGAAGCTCCACTCGCTGTGAAATCACATCGCTTTTCGGATTCAATGAACGCACGTTCATAAGCCGCAATCTAATAAGAAGCTGGCTGAAGTTTTTTTTGCTGAAACCACATAATGGCCGTTATGTGCCTGGGTGGGTGGGTGGGTTCGCTGGCGCGTAACATGGCGCAGTCGCGCGTGGCCGCTCGAATGTATTTTATGGTGCGATCATTGCAGCTATTGCTATTGTTGTTGGAGCTGATGTAACGGAGGAACCCAGGAGCTCCGAGAGCCGCAAATATCATTACTACTACGACTACTACTACTACTACGACTACTACTACTACTACTACTACTACTACTACTACTACTACTACTACTACTACTACTACTACTACTACTACTACTACTACTACTACTACTACTACTACTACTACTACTACTACTACTAACTACTACTACTTACTACTACTACTACTACTACTACTACTTACTACTACTACTACTACTACTACTACTACTACTACTACTACTACTAACTACTACTACTACTACTACTACTACTACTACTACTACTACTACTACTACTACTACTACTACTACTACTACTACTACTACTACTACTACTACTACTACTACTACTACTACTACTACTACTACTACTACTACTACTACTACTACTACTACTACTACTACTACTACTACTACTACTACTACTACTACTACTACTACTACTACTACTACTACTACTACTACTACTACTACTACTTCTACTACTACTACTAACTACTACTGGAACTACCACCACTACTACTACTCCTCGTCCTCCTCGCCCTCCTCCCCCCCTGTCCTCCCCCTCCTCCTCTTCCTCCTCCTCCCCGGCGTTCCCGCGAGCGCAACATTATATGCCTGTGGGCGTCGCAATAGCGCGAAGCGCGCGGGCGCGCCTGTGTGGGCCCCGCAACAACCTGCGCGCGCTGCGCCCCTACGAGCCACGGGCGTATGCCTGCGCACACTGCAGACACGCTGTCGTCGCACTGCGAGCAGCATGCGTAAGTATACGCTACACAGCAGGCACTGCTGCGACGAGTGCGGGTTGGGCGGCGGCCGCTGCGTCATGCACTGGGTGGGTGGGTGGGTTGGAGGCCACATAACACGCATTATGTGTTTGAGTAAAAAAAAATTGAGCTCTAAAGAGTGTAAAGAATCGGGTATGCCATCGGGAATCTGAGGGCGTTAACAGCGGTTTACAAATGGCAAGACAAGACGAATTGGGAAAATTGTGGAAGTTCAGCGCCGCAGCGCCTATTGATTCTGTGGAACTGCACAATCTGTGCGACGAAGGATATCGCATGGCACCTACGCAATGTATTGAGATTGAGAAGAATGAACATCTCCGCAGACTGAGTGGACCTCCGTTTGCACCGCAGGGCAAAGGTAGATTTGCCGCGCATGGAAACTTGGAGAGTCGTTGTTCATCCCCGCGGATTCACCAACGTGTGAACTCGAAGGGCTGAGGTTGATAGGATCAGGGCCTGATGGCACAGAAAAGATGCCCAAGTGTGCCCGACATTGCACCTGCGTGCTTCCAGGGGCAGGAACTCGACCGCCTCATGCTGCTCAAGCCACCGCCCGACGGACTCGAAGGGGCACCATATCGTGGGGTAGTGATCGCGCGTATGCCCGTCTATGGCACGCGCGACGCAGGGCGTGGCTTGTGGAGGGCAATTCGCAAAAGGTTTGAAGCTCGTGGTCTGAAGGAGAATCGCATCGTGCCTGCTTTGTTCAGTATCCAGAATGACAAGAACGAGATCACGCGCATGCTAAACACACATCTGGGTGACGTATTGTGGGCTGCAGATGATGAAAGTCAGAAAATCATCGATTCGGTATTAGGGGAGCTTGATATTTGCGAGTTTGGTATTCGCAAGTACTTGCCTGACAATTTCCGCTATTTTTGTTGAGAAGTTGTTCAGGATCGAGATTGCACGGCGAGTGTCGCGGCCGAGGGCAATGTTGAGAAAATCGAAGCTGCACCCGACCCTAGAGATAGCCCCCTTTAGCAGAATATGCAATGAGGCCGAGACAGCACCGCTTAGATCGGTCGCAGGTGCTTTGTCATGGGTTACACGTCAGCAAAAACCTGAGCAATTGTATCGCGTGAGCAAACTGCAGACTGCAGCGCGTCATGCTAAGGTCCTTCATCTTTAGGAAGCCACCGTGCATATTCAAAGGTGGAACTGTTGAGTGGCAACAGGATATCATAGTTTTTATGGTTAGTGACGCCAGCCGGGCAGGAGAGAGGATATAGCTCAGGGTAGAATCGAACCCTTCAGGTCGCAGACGGCTAGGTTCAATGGATTCGCAGGGCCTGGATTCATCGAGGGGAACAGTGATCATGTTCACCCTATATGTAGATCTAGTAAAGTTATCAACTGAGTATGTAATTCTACACTACCAGCAGAGACCCTGGCTTGTTTAAGGGGTGTAGAACCTGGCGTGCGCATTCGCGCCGCCATCGCAGATGCGCGTGGCATGCTTGGTGCAGGAAAGAAGCTGCCAACCAACTGGGAGGACAAATCAGCCATTTCAATGAGACACTTATGAGTGACGGGCTGCAGAACCCTTGAGGAACATCTCATAGCACCAACCATGGGTAAGACGATATATAAACGCTTGAATCTCGATTTCAGTTGTTAAGATGATATATTTGGACGAATGGTACGGAAGACGTACCGATTCTATTTCCAATCGCATTTAGGGATAATATCCGATGAATCGATACAAGCATCCTGGTTGTTGATTGTCTGGCGAAGGATATGCCTACATATTGCCATGCTAAGATATTACGTACAAGTTGGTATGACGGAACTCCAGAGCGAGCCTGAATCTACATTGAGGAAGGCCAAGACGCAACTGGCAAGGGCCAGGATGAATGCTATCCTATCGTGGAACTGATTGACTGAGGAGTGATTGCCTTTGACTTGAGTGATCCCAGCATGGGAGTACTCTTTAGACTAGCGGTAGTGCGATGTCTGCCGGCTGGCTCGTGGTAAAGTTTCGCGGGTGTGAGATTGTGCATGTGTCACGTGTGTGTGTGTGTATATGCGCCACTCGCTGCCGTTTGACCTCTAGGGGGCCCCTTTTGCCATTCCGCTAAAATGCATCATATTCACACAAACCATCCATCCGCGAGCCTCCAATCCCGTGCATATTGAAGCCTTGGCGTGAGGTGGATCATTTGTTGCTTTGCAGAGAGGTTTGAAGCAGCATCGCGGCCAGGCGGCGAAGGAGCCGGCATGCGGCAGGTGCGTGGGAGGAGGGAGGAGGGAGGAGCAGGAGAAAAAAAAGGAGCAGGAGGCTGAGTAGGAGGAGGAAGAGGAGGAGGAAGAGGAGGAGGAAAAGGAGGAAGGGGAGGAAGGGGAGGAGTTGGAGTTGGAGTTGGGAGAGGGGGCACTGGCGAGGAGGTGCTGTTGGCAGAGCTCCGCGGGCAATGGGCGGAGCGTAAGGCCAGCGTTTAGCAAACGCCTCCTGCAGTGCTCCGAACACGCGAGTGGCGCATGTGCCACGATGCTCCATTCCGGACAACGCGCGGTGCAGTGCCGGGACCGGCGTCTCGGGGTCTGACCGGCGCGCCGCGGCGCAGCCGACTGTTCTGTTGAACCTCCTCTCCCCTACGAGGGGGACGAGACGTGGGCGAGGACAGCGGTTGCCAAGGAGGTCGCCAGGGGCGCCAGCTCGCACAGCCCCTGAGGCCTGATTTGAGCCCGCGTTGGAAGAGGGATGGGTGAGGGAGGGAGGGGGGGGAGGAGCAGGAAAAGGAGGAGAAGGAGGAGGAGGAATTCCCGGTGGCCGCCGCCAGCCTCCACAGGACCGGATCGCCGGCCTCATCGAGGCGACCAGACGGGGGGTGGCGGCGGAAGAGCAGGGCGGCCCTGGGTTGTCGCAGTCGGTTGCCGTCGGTCGGTTCGGTTCGGTCGGTTGTTGCGTCGTCACCGTGTCGTTGTGCCCTTCTCGGCCGTTTCGGGCAGGTTGGGGTTCGGTCGGGCTCGAGTTCGTTGTCGGCTCTGGAGTTTTTCGGTTGCGCTGTTGATGTGGACAGTGTGGTGCTAGCAGATGAGGAGGAGTCGGGGCGCATGTGACGGGGCTTGGCCCCTATTCAAGCGAGACACCAATGCATAAATACAAAGTTGTGGGGGGCCGCTCGGATTGCTTGCTTGGGTCGGCGCCGCCCCCATCCAAGCCTAGCGGCCACCCCCTGGCGCGCTCTGCGCGACAGGGGAGGGGGGTCCAGCACCCTCCGAAGAAATCTATGCGGGCCTGAAGTGTACGTGTATGCCAGATCCTGACCAAAGTCAGCCAGGTCTCATGCGATTCCCTCTGCCTGTTCCAGGCTTGGGGCCGGGTCGATCCGACCCCGGTCCACTTCTTTCGCTGGCCGGGGTTCAGGAGCTACCGTGCGGCCGACCAAGGTTCGCAACATGGCCTTGCCGCTGACCCGGGGTAGCCCGTCCCCAAGACTGGAATCCAGTGTGTTATTTCTTGGCTCAGCACTGCCTGATATGGGCTGCGTTTCCGGGCTTGATTCCAGGTTGGCAGACACCTCTAATGGCGGCATTGCCGTTGATACTAACAAGTCACGACGCTTGCGCTGGTCTGATCTGCCCCCCAAGGTTATGTTCAGTTGATTCGGCAGGCAGGAGGGCCGCGGTGCCTCGTGCTGTCGTGCAGATAGTGCTGTGAGATCTGCGTGTCGATGTCGCGGGAGTCGTGATGCGTTCCGGGGTCGAGCCAGAAACGACATGATAATGAGGATTGTCGTGAGTCCTTTGGGGGCGAACGAGGGCAGCGCGTCATTCCATGATTTCTGAGGCCGACTGGCGTGGCAGCGAAACGGCCGCCAGCCTGCGAGAAGACAGCTCCCTGGAGCGGCCGGGTCGGTGCGGGAGGACAACTGAGGTCGCTTGAGCGCCGTGCCTCCCACGCGCGCCTCCCTCTGTATAGCTTGTGCTCCGAGAGTGCCAGAGCCATGAAGTGTTTAGGGCCTCTCCGCTGGGTGCAGCTGCGAGTTGCCTGTGGCTTCCGGCCCTTGAGAGGTCCAGACGGGGCTCCAGGAGCGGAGGGAAAACGCTCGAGACGCCGCCAGGAGGCTAACATGGTGGGGGCATGCGAGGTGTATGCTACTGTCTGGCCCGCTGCGGCGGCGCGCACGAAAGGGAGAGGCAGGGAAGGGCACAGCAGTCGGCGTCTTCGTCGTGGTCGTTTCGCGAGCGCGGGTATCTCGAAAGAACTGCTTGGTGGCAGGGATGACGAGAGCCGGGCTTGGCCCTCGAGCGGGCGCCCGCCGGGGGTGCGGGAAAAGCGAGCCCCCGTGGTGCGCGCGGGCGGCTTGCCGTCTGGGGCGAGGGGGGCTGTTTCCGGAGCCACGGCAGAGGTCGCGACGCTCGGGTCTGGTGCCTAGCTGCGCTACAGCGCTGTCCCCAAATCCGTCTTTTTCGAAATCCCACCAGCGCGATGGGCAGCGAGTGGCCTAGATTCTTAGGGTGTCTTCCCAAAGGTTCTCTCCGTAAGCCGCCAGTCCCTACCCAACCCTTCCCCAGGGTCTCTATTTTTGCCCCCCCCAACGGTTGGGGCCCAACCAAGTGTGCAAGAGCCTGATCCCTAAGCTGAACACGCCAATCACGTTTTGCTCGTATGCATATGTGCACCGTGACCGCGTTTCCGCGCAGACGCACGAGCGTCTTTGCTGGTATACGGCGAGGAATCCATAACATAGCGCACGACTAAACGGAACAATTGCTGCCAGAATCCATTCCTCTCTCGCGAGAGTTTGCGCCAGTCTGGCCACCACTGTCTTTTCAGTTCTCGTGGCCCTTCAAAATTCCACGCTAGCATGATTGCCTGGCTGAAGCTCATTGAGGAGAATTGCTAGCCCGTTTGCTTTAACCTCCTCCCCCTCCATTTACCTATGACACACGTCCTCGCGATCAGGCTGGCGTCATGTGTTTGATAGCTGAGCACAGGTCAAAGCAGAATTCAAGCAGACCACAGCTCAGCTTCGTGAGTTGACTCTTTCGAAGTATTCGAGGATTGATTACTTGATTCGACTCCCAGCCCGTTTGCCCAGATTGGCCTCGGCGCAGTCGGCTGGACGATTGGCCTCGGGGAGGATGACGGGCCAGAGGGGACAAGAGTCGAACAATCAAAGCTGCAAGACATTCGTTTTCGGAGGCCCCCGCGGATTTCTTGGGTCAGCGCTGGGACCACTGTGCTCCTTCCTATAGGGGGTCTGGCGCCGACCCACCATCCGCACGGACCTCGGAACAGTTCTGGTGTATGATCGTGCAGTCGTTTGTTCCTCCAGATCGGCGCCACCCAAAATTACTATTTAATTATATGTGCGCGTCGCCCCCACGACGCGCGGGCCGAGAAATCTTACAGGATAAGCTCAGCGGCGGGCGCTTTCTGGCCGTACCGCTCGGGCAACGGTACACTACACTATGTCCCCTATCGGGCGCACGCCTCCAATGAGGGTATATAGTTAGTACCAGCATGCCTTTCCGCGTCTCGACGCCTCGACCTCCCGCCGCTTGCACCCGCGCGGCGGCAGGGCGCGCTGCACGTGCCCGCCGCCGGCGTCGGTGGCTTCCTGGGGCGGTGCCCGGAGCTCGTGGAGCAGTGGGCGGAGCCAGCCCGCCCGCTGCCTGCCATGGGGGTGTCCCGCCCCAGTTGCCACTCTGCTCCTGCCCCTGGCGCACTCCGCGCCTGGCTCCCCGGCCACTGCAGCTCCACTGCCCCTGCCCGCTCCCCGGGCTTCTCCTCCCCTTGCCCCTGAGCTTGCCTGCCTCTCGAACTGACTTGACTCCCCTGCGCCATTCCGTTTTTCCTGCCTCCTCGTATTCCTCCTCCTGCGCCTCCTCCTCCTCCTCCTGTACTGCCTCTTCTTCTTCCTCCTGTATGCCTGTAGCTTGGCGCCCCAAGTCTAAATCTAGTGGCCTCAGCCCATCCCGCAACCGCGCCTGGGTCGTAGACAAGAGGCCTCTCGGATTTTGCGGCCTCTCCTCTCGGAAGGTCTTTCAATGATTTGGGGCCTTTGGATGGAGCACAAGGGCTCCCAAGATGTCCCTTGATCCCCCCCAAGTGAGCCCAGGATTACCCCCTGGGGACCAACACGTTGTATGGTGGAGGCGCGGGTTTCGAACCACGCTTTGGATACTTCTGGAAAAATCACGTGGGAGCCTGCAGTAGCAGGTACAATATTCAATATTCAACGCAAAGAACTCGAAGGGACCTTAGGACGCTTTACTTCGTGCCTCGGGGGACTGGCGGATGTCTCTGTGGTTACTTGAGCCTCGAGCCCAGCGATGCTTTGACATGTGGTTTCCAAGCATTGCTGGATAGACGCAAGCGATGCCACAGGATTCTCACCGTTGTCGCCGACCTGGGTCCCGAATCTTTGGCAGCACCACCGGGCTCTAACCGTTCCAGCGATTCCAAGACCCCGAATTGTGCCTGGGTCATCGGATTATATCGAAGACGCCTACTACGAATCACCGCCCCCCCTGCCGTTTAGGATACGGGCTGGCCGCGCTATTGGACAATGCGTTCCCCCCGCCGTTTTGGAAGCCTTTCGGGGAACACGTGGGGGAGGAAGAGGAGGATGAGGAGAGGGAGGGAAAAAGAGGATGAGGAGAAGGATGAGAAGACCTCTTGGGAGCTGATTGTCTTATTCTTGGGGCCTCCTGGGGGCCTCTTGGAGGCCACTTGGGGACCTTCTTGGGCCTCTTCGGGGCCTTTGCTGGCTTCCTGGGGGCATCTTCGGCAGTCTTACGGCGTTCCTGGCACGCCTGACGCCGTCGGAAGCCCCCCGGGGGCCCCTCTCCCTCCCTCCCTCCTTCCTACCCTCCCTCCGTCCGTCCCTCCCTCCGGCGGCATGCCGGTTTATTCTGCCGCGGACTGGGCTGCGCGCCGAGCCGGGGACAGCGTTTCCGCTGTCGTGCCCGGTTTGGGGTGCCGCAATTCGTGATCTGTTCGTTGCGTGTTGCCGCTCTTGGCACTTGGCGGGTCTCTCGTTGCGCCCCGGGGTGATCCAATCGTTTCACCGCAGCCCCGTGCTCCACGCGTTTCCCCACCCGTCCTCCTCTTCGTCCTCGTATTCCTCCGCCTCCTCCTCTTCCTCCTCCCCCTCATCTTTCTCCTCTTCTCAAGCGTTCTCTCGTACGCGGGTTTTTTTTGATACGGGCGTTGGAGGCGTCTGGGTCGGGCGTTTTCTTTCGCATATTCGGGAGGTTTGGTAAGGAAAGGAAAGAAGTTTGTTCCGAAGGTGGAACCTCACATGATAATATATTTAGATTGTCATTTATTTGTTCTTCGTCCTGGTCGACCCCCCCGTGTCGCCCTCTGTTGCGCCTCCTCCTCATCCTCCTTGTCATCCTCGCCCTCCGTATCCTCCTCCTGTTCGCCCTCCTTGTTCAATTTCTCCTCATCTTCTTCGTTTTTTTCCTCCTCCACCTCTTCCTCCCCCCCGTGACGTTCCTGCTCTCTGACGTTTTCTGCTGATGTTGTATGATAAATTCTGACGCGCGTCGGAACGCGGGCCCAATAGGGAGGGGGTTCCCGCCTGAGACTTCTTGACAACTCGTGCGCCGACGCGTGAGGAACGCCTCGTGATGTGCCCCTTTGGGGTGCTCAAGTGCTATGCCTGGTAGAGGTTGCCGATGACCCAGTCGGACTGCCAACATGAATTGCGGACCCCGTAGGGAGGGGGCTCTTGCTTGAGACTTCCTCGCCACCCAGTTACACACGAAGCCCCCGCGTGAGAGTTCGTCCATGTTCAATCCAGAGGAGCCGAACAGCAACGACAGTTACAGGGTCCCGATGACCCGCTCGGATTGCCAACATGAAGTGCGGACCTCATAGGGACTGGGTTCCCGTCTGTGACTTCTTCGCGATCCCCTCACTGCAGAAACGGACAGTTACAGGCTACGGATGACCCGCTCGGATTGCCAACGTGCGGTGCGGACCCCATAGGGAGGGGGAGTCCCTCTTGAGACACCCTCGCAATTCACGCACAGACGAAGCTCGCGCATGAGACTTCGTCCATATTTCATCCAGGGGTGCCGGAAAGTCGGAAAGTGACGATGGTTACAGGTTCCCGATGACCCGTTTGGATTACCAATGTGAAGTGCGGACCCCATAGGGAGGCGGTTCCCGCCTGAGACTTCTGCGCAATTTCGCTTGCCGGCGAAACTCCCGCGTGAGACTTCCTCCATAAGCAACCCAGAGGAACTGAAAAGCGACGACCATTACAGGTTTCCGATGACCCAGTCGGATTGCCAACATGCGGTGAGGACCCCATAGGGGGGGGGACTCCCGCTTGAGACATCCTCGCAATTCTCTCACAGACGAAGCTCCCGCTTGAGACTTCCTCCAAATTCAATCCAGGGGAGCTGGAAAGTGACGATAGTTACAGGTTTCCGATGACCCGCTCGAATTACCAACGTGAATCGCGGACCCCATAGGAAGGTGGTTCTTGCCTGAGACTTGCGCGTGAGACTTCCTCCATATTCAAGTCAGAGGAGCTGAAAAGTGACGACATCTACAGGTTTCCGTGACCCGCTCGTATTACCAATATGAAGTGTGGATCCCATAGGGAGGGGTCTCCGGTACAAGTTTCCGATGACCCGCTTGGATTACCAACATGAAGTGCGGATCCCATGGGGAGAGGGCTCCCGCATGAGACTTCCTCACATTTGACTTACAGACGAAGCTTCCTCTTGGTGGATGATCACGATGGGAGGGGATAGAGACGAGTGTGTGATGATAGTGATGGTGATGGTGAGTGATAGTGAGCGGTGATTGATTGATGCTGATGGTGAATGGTGATGATGACGACGGAGATGCTGATGAAGATGACGCTGTGTGTATGATGATGGTGTTGATGATGGTGGTCATGGTGATGAGTGTGCCAGCGAATGTGAGTGACGATGACTGGTGGTAATGACGCTGATGATGATGGGTGCGAATATGATGATGATGATGATGATGATGATGATGATGATGATGACGATGATGATGATGATGATGATGATGGTGGTGATAACGATGATGATGATGATGATGATGCTGCTGATGCTGATGCCGATAATGATGATGATGATGATGATGATGATGATGATGATGATGATGATGATGATGATGATGATGATGATGATGATGATGATGATGATGATGATGATGATGCTGATGATTACGATGATGATGCTGATGCTGATGGTGACGATGACTTTGAGTATGCTGCTGATGATGATTCTGAGGATGATGATGACGATGACGATGACGATGACGATGATGATGCTGATGATGGTGATGATGATGATGATGATGAATGAATGAATGAAAGAATGAATAAATGAATGAATGTGGGAGAGAGTGTGTGCTGATGATGGTGAATGGGGGTGTGTGCTGATGGTGATGACGATGGTGGTAGTGATGATGATGAGTGTGGTAGCGATTGTTCTGGTGATGGTGTTGAGGTGGAAAAGAGGGTGTGTGTGTGTGTGTGTGCGAGGGGGTGCTGATGATAATGACTGAGAGTGTGTGTGTGTGTGCTGCTGATGGTGATGGCGACGATGATGATGGTGATGATACTGATGATGATGGTGATGATGATGATGATGATGATGATGATGATGATGATGATGATGATGGTGGTGATACTGATGATGATGGTAATGATGATGATGATGATGCTGATGCTGATGCTGATGCTGATGCTGATGATTATGGTGATGATGATGATGATGATGATGATTATTATTATCATTATGATGATGCCGATGATGAGGATGATGATCATGATGGTTGTGGTGGTGGCACTGATGATGATGAGTGTGATGACGATTGTGATGGTGATGAGGTGGCAGAGAGGGGGGAGGAAGTGAGGGGATCCTGCGCGGAGGTGTGCAGAGAGAGCAAGCACCCCACTTAGGATGTGGGGAACAACATCCTGCGTTTCGTGGTGCTACCGCTCCTGCTCCGAGTCTCCTGCCTTGGCTTTGCTGCCTCGAGGCGTCTCCGTGACGCACGCCCTCGCCGCCTTGTGTGCCCTGCCGCTGCGTCTGCAGCCGCGCCGACCCCGCCGATCCCGCGGCCCCGCCCTCCGGTGAGGGGAGCCCCCCCCGTGGGCCGAGCCTCTCGTGCGCGCGGGCCGCGCGCCGCCGATGGGCGCGCGCGGGGGCCAGGCGGCCGGGGGAGGCGTCGGCCGCCATGAGGCCGCGCGGGTGCGTGGCAGCGGAGGGAGGGCAGGACAAGGGAGGGGAAGAGGGAAGAGGGGGGAAGGGGGGGCGTGGGAGGGGGGAGGGAGTGGAGGAGGAGGTCGGAGGGGATAGGGAGACAGACAGACAGAAGTGCCATACGCCGAAGCGCGTGGGCAAGCGACAGCGCACGCTGATTGCCGCTTTGCGGGAATGGCGGCCTACCAACATTCTCTCTCGAATTGCCCAAGGTTGGTGTGCAGAAGGGGGAGGGGGAGGAGGAAGAGACGATACAACATCTGCCACAAACTTTCGCCAAGCTGCGGGCTCGCGAATGCTTTGCATTGCGGCCTCCTTTGAAGCGAAGTGCGGACCGATCGTCTTCATTAAGCACTTTGCCCATTCATTCCTCGGCCGCCCTACAGCCCGGGCGCAAGCGTCTGCAGCTGGTCGCAGGCATCCGTCCTGAAACGTAAGGTGCCGCAGCAGATTCGAATTGTCAGCCCTCCGATTTTCCCAAACCACAGAAGTTGTTGTCTCAGGAGCTGCGTCGTGTACGGCTCTTGATTTGCTCGCAGCAGCACGTCTCTGTTGGGAACCCTGGAGATGTACGCGGACGCGACGTGCAAGATATTGCGGAGGCACCGGGCCTGAAAACCATCTAGCTGTCGACGTTCTGCCTTGTTGAGCCAAGCCGAATTCAGAGAATATATGGCCTTACTCGTGACGAGAGATTGGACTACTTGAAGTTTGCGGGCCTTCTCGATAGCTGTGTGTTTCCACGCGCGCCTATATCTGCAAAATTCACCCCAAGCTGCCCCCAATATGTTGCTTAATTCTCCAGACCGCCGGCCTGAGCTCGAGATCGCTGCCCCAAGATACACAATTGACTCTTTGGCTGGGATTGGTTCGCCCTGTGGCGTCGAAAAACTCACATCGCAACGAACACGCATGAACTGGAACATGTCCCAATGCAATTCCATGCCGGCCGGGGCCCCTGATTCTGCTATTTCTCCCAAGCGCGATTGCATATGAACTTGGTCACGTCCAACGAGCAGCGTGTCGTCGGCGTACAGTAAAACAGCCATTGCTTCTGATCGAAGAGCCTTACGTACACCGGAGTCTGCGTGGCGCTCGGCGTCTCGTAATACCATCGTCATACCTATAACAAACCAGAAAGGTGAAAAGGGAAAAGCCATGGACTATTCCAGAAAGTTGCCGTCTTTATTTAGATGTATGTTGTCCGTCTGCTACTTTGAACGTTTTGTTGCTGTAGATGTTGCCTATGGTCGTAACAATGCGTCGTGGTACTCCGAATGTACGTAATGCTTCCAGAAGTGCGCCCACGTTAAGCGAGTCAAACGCTTTCTTCCAATCCAAGGCTAAGAACGATATACATCCTTCCTTCTCCGCGTAGGCCAAGCCGATGTACCGACGAACGGCGTGTACAGCGTCTGAAGTCTCATATCCCTTGCGAAATCCGTATTGTGTAGGGGTTCACCGATCTTCTGCTCCACCGTCTGGCAGCCGTTTCAAAATGAGTGCGGCCATTAATTTGTAAGCAACGCATAGCAAGTTTATTGGCTGGTGATTGTCGCAATTGTCGAGGGCCCCCTTGTTCCTGTGAATGGTGGACACAATGGATTGCTCTCAATCTTCAGGTACTGCTTGTTCGTTCCAGCATTCGTTGCATAGATCTGTGATCCACTCAAGCCCACCTGAATATGTAGAAATTGCATTCCAATATTCCGCTGGTATGTCGTCAACTCCGCATGCTTTGCCGCGTTTGAGCTTGTTGATGGTGCTTCGCACCTTTCCCTTGGCGAAGTCTGACTCTAATGTTGGCAGCTGGTCTCCTATATAGGCGTCGTCGTCCAGGAGCTGTGCAAAACGGTACTTTCCATTGCACATGCTCCAGATAGTCGGCCATCGTGTCAGCTCTCTGCGTGCTGTCCACAAGATCGCCGTTCAAGTTTATAAGTCTCCCTTGACGTCGAGGTTTCGGCCGGCAATGCTTTCTCAGGGCATCCCAAGTACCACTTGATATTTGTTCATCAACCCAAATAGTCTTGTCCAACTGGCATGCTTTACGAACCTGTTTCATCAACGCTGTCTCCTCCAATTTGTTGTTATTTGATCGTGCAATGCTGCGGCGATGTATGAGGTCAAGTGTACTGGATGAGATCCACGGCTTTCTGTTGATTGGTTCGCGCCTCGGCAAGGCGTCATCGGCAGAGTGTGCCGTTGCTTCGCCTTGGTCCCACGAGTCCCGCAAATTCGTCGGTGAACACGCACATGAAGATACTGATTATAAACATCTGTCCGCGTAAGTGTTCCGCACAACGGCGTCGCGCATGGCATCCCTGTCCGGTCTCCTCGCCGCTGGTGTTGTTGGTGTGTTTGTCGGTAGCGCCAAAGATGTAATTACCAAGCAATGGTCTGTAGCTAAGGCTGTTTCTCGACGACTTCTCAACGAGGCGATCGATGTTCGCAAGGTCGAATCACAAATAATTAGATCCAACATGTTATAACTATCCCCCGTAATGTCCCCCATTGGTAGCGCCCCCGCCTCCATGTATGTTATTTTCTCGTCCAGCGGGCGCTGCACGAAAGTGTTGGCTATCTGTATCTCCAAGCCTGTGCAAAGTTCCATCATGAGGTCCCGGTTGGGCTGTTCAACTTCACGCAGTGCACGCCGTCCCCTAACCAATATCTCTTATTACATCATATTCTCCTGGCTGCGCCACCCCCATTCTAGCATTGAAGTCTCCCAGGAGCAGGATAACGGGGAGGGGGGAGGTGGATGAGGAGGAGGAAGGAGGGAGGAGGAGGGGTGAGGAGATAAGAGGTGCGGAGCCTTTCCGCGGGCCGCGCGTCGGCGCGTGGGAGGGATGCCCTGTGGGTAGGGGGAGCGCCGAAGAAACGAGTGTGACATGAACGGGGGCGAAGAACGATAGCATATCATGTTCACCTCAAAGAAAGTTCGCTGTCGGTGCCGCCTGGGACGCTCTCGATCTGGGAAGGACGTCGCCTGCCCAGCATTGGCCGCTGTTGGGTCTGGACAGCGTTGGTTGTTTGGGCATCTTGCGGGTTCTTTCCGCCCCGAACTCGGCATGGCAAGTCGGGGGGTGAACGGAGTCGAGCCAGAGCAAGAGGTCGAGTGGTGGACCGACAGGAGGGGTTCGACGAAAGAGGGCAGCGCCTTACCCCACATCTTTTAATCAGGCCCCACTTCTCCTACCCCTTCCCCTCCAGGCTTCCTGCTGGCGAGCTTGCATAGTTAGGGAAGAGGAGGAGGAGGCAGGGAACGAGGAGGAGCAGCTGGAGCATGCTGGAGCTGGAGCATGGGGGGGATGATGACGGGGACGAGGACGAGGACGAGGAGGAGGAGGAGGAGGTAAACGATAAGCAGAACGGGTTCTAGCCAGCTTCGACCGTAGTCCGTCCGACCCAGGCAGCCAGAGGCCTTCCTCTCGCACATGACCAGCCCCAGGATGATGTCGCTGTGCTTCCTGGTGCCTGGAGGACGAATGGACGACGGAGGGGCCGCCCACCGCGGCTCCCGCTCCCCCCCCCCCTGCCTTCCCTCCACATGTTGGCACGCAGGTGCACTCTGCCGCGCTTTGCGTGGGCGCCGTAAGCAGAAGGCCCGACGTGCTGGTGGGTCCCTCGACTGGAGCGCTCTCCAACCAGAGACGCGCCCCATCCCTGAGAGTCCAGGCTATATGCACGCTGTCAAGATTTTTGGTTGTCAGCTCTGTTCCACGCCTCCCGCGGCATAGAGCTCCACAGAGGCGCTTGGTCTTGATCTTGGTTGTATTTCCATATTGCTGCTGCTGGTCAACGTCGTCGTCCTCGCACTCGCCGGGGGGCAGACGGGCAGACGACACATATGTTCGAGCGCTGGTTTTTGTGCCAACCATTATGTGGTGTTGGGTCTTCGAGTTGAAGAGTCATCGCCCCGCGTTCCTCACTGATTCTCCCGGTTCCCCTCTTCCTCCTCCTTACTTCTGCTTTACGCATCAGTCTACCAGTTCGCTACACCCCGCAAACGTTACGTACCCCCATAGGATTATGTCTGGCATTTCCCTATACAGGGGGGATCTTCAAACATAGTCACATTAGCCCATCGAAGGACCCAACCATGTGCAGTTGTGGATACCGTCGTTGTATGCACCGTATTCGGAGGAGCTCCCTATGGAGCCACGCAACGTGTGAGGGGTGTGCCGAGATGGGCGCGGTGGCCGCATGCGGACGCTGGGATTTGGGCCTTCGGTGGGGCTCCCTGTGGGGCCACGAAACGTGTGAGGGGTGTGCTACAATGGGTGCGGTGGCCGCATGCAGACGCTGGCCTTTGGGCCCTCGGTGGGGCTCCCTGTGGGGCCAACAAACGTGTGAGGGGTGTGCCATCATGGGTGCGGTGGCCGCATGCGGACGCTGGCATTTGGGCCTTCGGTGGGGCTCCTTCGTGGGGCCACGAAACGTGTGAGGGGTGTGCCAAATTGAGGGGGGTGACGGGAGGAGGGAGGAGGCGGGGGAGGAGGAAGGAGGAACGCGGGGACCGTCTCCTCAAAACGACGACCCAACACCACCGGATGGTTGGGGAAAAACGTATGGGGACGATGTTCTGATGATGTTTGAATGTGTTTGAAGATGGCTTGAGTATGTTTCATTCCCCCCCCCCAAAAGTCCGCCTGTAGAAGCACATGCCCGATCTAACCATAGGGAGCTCTCCGAAGGCCCCGAGTGGCAGGGTCCACATGCGTCCCCCCGCCACAGTTCGGCACACCCCTCGCACGCTCCGTGGCGCCGTAGGGCGCTCCACCGAAGGCCCCAAATCAAGGGAGGCAAAACCACCCAGATCCCGACAACTGGCGTTTACTAAACGGCCCTGGGCGTTTATTATGCAGTGCCCTGATCGATTCCTTCCTTGGGTGCGTTTACTAAACAGCTTCGCTTGTCGGGATGCTTCGTATGGGGTGGATGTTCTTCCCTCTACCAAAGCCAGGGTCCACATGCGTACCCCCGCCCAATTTCGGCACACCCCTCACACGTTTCGTGACCCCGTATGGAACTCAACCGCAGGCCCCAGTGGCATGGTCCACATGCGTCCCCCCGCCCCATTTCGGCCTCAGATTGTTCGTGCCCCCATGGGGAGCTCCACCTGAGGCCCCAGTAGCATGGTCCACATGGGTCCCCCGTCCCCTTTCGGCACACCCCTCAGACGCTTCGTGGCCCCATAAGAAACTCCACCTAAGGCCCCAGTGGGAGGGCCCACATGCGCGCCCCCACACTATTTCGGCACACACCTCGCTTCGTTGCCCCATGGGGAGCTCCACCTCAGACCCCAGTGGGTGCCCCCTCGCACCATTTGAGCACACCCCTCGCACGCTTCGTGGCGCCATAGGAAGCTCCACCGAAGGACATGATGGGAAGGTCCACATGCGCCCCCCGGCCCCATGTCGGCACACCCCTCACACGATTCGTGGCCTCATAGGGAGCGCCACCGAAGACGACTCTCACAACTGCGTCATTCACAACTGCATCGCTTTGGGTCCCTCGCCCGCATAATTGATTTGCGCCGCCTGGAGCATCTGGGCGCGCCGCGGACAGATCCAGAATGATCAAAGGCATCCCGTCAGGTGAAGTTTGCACGTCTTCGGCCGTCCTTGTCTTACCCTTGCCCCTGCTCCGCCTATGACCACTTTGGCTGAAGTACGTTACATGGCTGATGGTGGCTGGATCGCCCAGCAGGGGGCTGCCGATGCGTCAGAAATTCTCTGCAGGGGCTTATCAAGGGTTCCCGCGGTTCGGTCGGTGCGGCTGAATCGCAGTCGGTTTCGTTCGGTCGGTTCGGTTCGATCGGTTGTCGTGTCTTTTTTGCGTCGCCGCGCCCTTCTTCTTAGGCTGCTTGCGGCCTGTCGGTTTCGGTTCGTTTCGGTGTCGCTGTCGGTTCTGTCGCTCGGTTTTCCGATGTGATGTCGCCGTGGACGGCCCTGGACAAAGGAGCAGGTGCACTTTGGAGCTGACGATCATCACGACGGGCCCAGGCGAGGGCAAAAGGAAGGACAGACACCAAGATGAGCTATGTTTCAGCACCGGGGAGCGCTGCCAGGGGCCGGCTGGTCACAAGGAGCTGAATGGCTTTGTTGCGGCCAGTGAATGTGGTCAGCAGTGCATTGCGCAGGATACGACCGGAAAGCAGCGTCGCGCCGTCGGGCAGTAGCATTCGAGTAATACTGGATATTCCTCGTCGTCGTCGTTGTCGCCGTCCTCCCTGTCCTACTTGTCCTTATCCTCTTCCTTCTCACCGTCATCCCCCCTGCCCCCATTCACTCCGATACCCGGTGTCTGCTGTGGTGAAGCACGGTATGCCGTCGTGAACATCGTTCCGAGGGATTTTTAGGGATCGTTTGAAAATCTTGGTCTGCCTGACCCGTGTTCAAGCGCCACGTGTTCCCCAAACGACGCAATTCCAAGACAAGATCAGCGAAGGAACTGATCTCGTGCTGCACGGTAAAGATTTATGCTGGATGCGGGCAAGACGAGCTTGAACGTGTTGCGCCGAACAGTTCTTGGCAGTGAAGGGGCTGCCCGCTCAAGGGATAGACCGTGTCACAGCCTGGGCAGATGCAGCGCCTCATGCCAAATAATGGTTGTGATTCTGCGTGCGGATCTGAAGAAGAGAGCCGTGCAGACAATCAATAGTCTAACAATTTAAATTCTCGAGCGAATTCCTCGAACGCCGCATTCAATTTTCGGGGATAACCATGCGGACCAAGTCTTGCATGAAGTCTAGCATATGCCCGATCACCGAGGGCCCGTGCCTTGGGCCAGGATACCCTCCCACAATCCCCCACTCGCCCTTGCATTCCTCCGCCCCCTTCGGTTTCGGCATAAGACTTCCCCTTGGCGGCATAAAACAGTCAGGCGCACACATGAGCGACCAGGGCGGCCAAACAGGGCAAGAGAGCTGAAGACAGCCCAAACAGCCCTCCTGACGGCCCAGTGGGGCCGAAGAGCACCCCTCAGATCACCCCCAGGAGACACAAGGCATAAACTTGTCATTCGTTGCCCCCGCATGCCAAGTGGGGTTTGGATTTTCTGCCCGCCCGCGTCGCACCCGCGTTTCCAACCTCAACCCTCGTCCTCCTTCTCGCTCGTACACTCATCAGACATGTGCACGCGTGCACTACACACGCGCGCGCACAGACGCACATGATACACACACAAGTTCACACACATACACACACACACGCACACACACACACACACACACACACACACGCACACACACACACATACACACACACGCACACACACACACAGACACACACACACACACGCACACACACACACACACACTGAGCGCGCCCACACCCCATGCACGGCTAGTTCACACCTGGCGTGCTCATCGCATCAGACATGCACAACGTACCCATGCAACACGTACACGGCACCCGCATGAGACAGGCACACGTCCACATACGGCAGCACAGACATCACGTGCACACGCTTGCCACACAGACGCGGATTTAGGCACCCGCATGACACATCAGGTCACGTCCACATACGGCCGTACACTCATCATACACGCACTAGACATGCATTCGCAGATCCAGTTATTCACATGATACGTAGATCACGCACAGCTGCGCGTAGGATTCGCAGGACATGGCAGGCGTGGCACTTTCTTGAAACCAGGGGTGGTCCCGCACAGCGGTCTCTGTCCGTCTCAGGGTCGCGGGGCGTGGTAGGCGTGGCACTTTCTCCACACCACGGGGGGCGCATGGGGGTGGTCCCTCACCGCGGTATCTATCCGTCTCGGGGTCGCGGGGCGTGGCAGGCGTGGCACTCTTCTCCACACTACATGGGGTGCGCAGGGGATGATCCTTCACCGCGCTTTCTATCAGTCTGAGGTCGGGGCGTGGCAAGCGTTGCACTTTCTCCACGCCGCAGGGGGTGCGCAGGGGGGGGGGGGGTCCCTCACCGCGGTCTCTGTCCGTCTCAGGGTCGCCGGGCGTCGCAGCGGTGGTCCTTCACCGCGGTCTCTATCCGTCTCAGGGTCGCTCGGCGTGGCAGGCGTGGCAAGTTCTCCACACCGCAGTGGGCGCGCAGGGGGCCAGATCTCGTTGGGAGTTCTCGACCTCCTCGTGGTGGTGAAGGACTTCGCGACAGCATGCGGAGGCATTGGGGCCAGACAGTCTCAGTTCAATCGCACATAGCGCACATCACCACGCCGTTGGTACGAAACCACACTGTCAGGACGTAACCCAGGCGGAAGGTCCACGTCAAATAAGCGAGCAATGTGTGTTGCCATTCTCCGACTCGTCCTCCTCGTGCGTATCTTTCCCCTCGTCCTCCTCCCCCTGCCCCCCTCCTCCAAGCTCCCCCCTCTCCCCAGGCACAGTTTGAATGTTTAGCCGCTCCCCTCATGTGGCGCTCCAGGGTGGGACGGCGGCCGTCTGTCCCTGCCCCCTTTTCCTCCGCACAGCCAGGTCAGCCGCCGTTCCCACTGCCTCTCCGTCGCCCCCCACCCCCGGCTGAGCTTGCCTCCTGCTGCCCCATTTCAGCCGCTAATGCTACCCTACTGTCGCTTTGCTGCTCATCCTTAGCCGCGGTCTTCCTCCTCATGGAGAGCGTTTTTGTCGATGCTGGGCGATAGCAGGCGTTGTTGTGGGGGGGGGGAAGGGGGGGATGGGGCCGGTAACGTGACGTTTCGCGCTGGCGCCGTCTGGGAATGTTTTAGGAATACAAGAAAATTGGGAGATAAGCGCGGATCGTGACGTTACCGGGGGGGAGCAACCAGGGGTGTAACGGCCGATATCGTGAAATATGAAAAACATGTTTCTGAGCGCGCGCCCAAAGGTGCTGCAGAATACCAGCTTGGTGTTGGTCATGCGCCATGTGCGGGCGCGGAAGGACCCGTGTGTGCCAGGGCTTTCACGTGTTCACGGAGGAGGATGCGGAGAAGGAGTAGGAGAAATAAGATGAAACATGATCGTCAGGAGGGTGCAGGAGGGCACGAGCCTGGCTCGTGACGAGCCAGGGGGAGGGAGGGGGCGAGCAGGATGAGGGGGCGACGGATGAGGAACACGGGGATAGAATAGGGCAGGACCTGTCGCGAAGCGGAGGGTCGCTACTTAAATACACCAGCGCCAGCATGCGGCATTGCTCTGAAGAAAGCTACACGTCTACATTATGGGAATTGCCCTCGTACATTCTGCTGTTAGATCTGAGCCTTGTGGTCGTGGGGTGTTGCCATCAATTGAGCATTCCCGTAGAATCCGCACGCGCTGCATACTTACACATCAGGTTTATGACTAGGAGCATCGTGTGACTGGAAGGCGGCCGGTCGTTTTCCCGATGTTAGAACTTTTTGGCCCTTCGGAATTTTGGAGAAACCTAGAACGTGAGACATTTCTTCCAGGCGCGGGCTACATCTCCACTGCTTAAGGCTGGCTTGCGAAGTGTTGCCACGACAACACAGACAACTTTGCCAACATCTACCATGGTGACCAATGACGCAAAAAAAAAGGCAACCGCAGTAGCAGCACTAGCAGTAGTGGGAGGACAACGCATCCGCTTCACTTCAGCTCCAGCAACATTTCGGCTTCAAGTTTCGCTCGCAAAAGGTGGCGGTCGACCAAGTGAGCTTGGTGCTTCGTTAGGGCCAGCCGGTTGCGAGATCATGCGTCGATGCATGTTTTTGGGGGCCTATGGCGAGCCAGTGCAGACTGAGTGAACGCACTGAGTCCGACGCAGTGTGGTGAGAGGTTGCTTAGAGTGCTTTTATGAGATTGAAATCGTGGCGATTGCGAAGCTGGCCAAGTGGGACCCACACTGAGTAACCGTCGATGGCTGACCTATTCCGCCTGGTGCCATCTTCGCGTTATCCCATCCTTGTTAGAGGTGTTTACCGTGGCGCCAAGACAGATTCCGACGGCAAGTTAAAAGGGGCCCAGCAGCTCTTCTGTAGGCACCAATTGCTTCATGCTTGGGATGGGCTCTCGCGCCGTGACGTCGTCTGGGAACAGTTGGACGGGGGAGATTGCAGCTGCGCCACTCCAGACGCAGCGACGGGCGACATCGCGAGACTCCGGTCATCCGCTAGCATTTCCAAGCAGCATGACTCAGCGAGGTAGATGGCCCATCGCGCCACTTACTATCCAACGTGGTGTCACAGCTGGCAGCAGGACTGCCACCCAGATCGTTGGCAAAGTTTCGCTCAACAAGCAATGATGTTGCGGAGCCGTGTTGCGCCGTCGCCTTGGCAGCCAGCGTGTCCGAAGCAGTGAAAGCGGGCGAGTTGGCATTGCACGGGCAGGCCCAATTTATGCTCTTCCCCCCCCCCCCATAGCGGGGACAGCACTCCTTCGATGTCCCTGTTTTTTCTTTCTTTGTTTTAAATGCGATGTTAAGGTGTATCGTTGTCTGCGCCCTGCCTGCCAGAACCAGGCGCGCCCCTGAGATGATCAAGGGCGCGGGCCTCGGGGCCCGTTAGCGCCCAGGGCCCTAGCGGTTGTGCAATACAGAACATACATGACATTCGCAACAAAGCTATTTGTTTCTTGTTGTATCCACCAACCATCCCCGACCTCAAACCAACAAGGGCCGCTCAGATTTTCCGAGCAGTTGCGCCATTGATCGCGACGTGAGTCTCCGCGCCACGTGCGCCGCCACGACACAATCTCTGCGCCCAAACGCCTGCCCGATCAAACCCCGCTTCAGCCTGTCTGCGAAGATGGAGCGAGCATAGTTGACAAAGGTGGGCGTTGCTGCTGCGCCTCGTTAGCCCCTTCAACCGCCGACGGGCCGCGACAAATCGATTCGCGTTTGATGGGCTGGTCGGTATGGCAGGGGGATTACCGCTAACGTCCGCTTGGAATGCGGCTTACAATCTAGTCTCCCTGCTCGCTTCCATCCGCCACCTTCGAATACATGCACATCGATGAATGACAGCCCGCGCCGATTACTGCCGCCCCATGTGCGCGAGCGCAAAATGCTTTCACTCCCTGATCAATGCCCGCAAATGAACGTGCCGGTGCGTGTGGCTTTCCTTTATGATCGTGAAGATGTCGTCCTGGAAGCGCCCGTAAAATTTGACCCCGTATGTCTAGCGAAAGGATTCACGGCGAACGCGTGGCTTTCGGCTATGTTGAAATACGCTCTGTTTGCGATTTCGCCTGGGAAGAAGGCCCATGCCCGACCTTCGTTTGACTTTCCACGGGCTCCCAGGCACGCTGTTCTGGAATTGTCGATGACGCGTTGTGGGCCACAACCGCAGATTGCCCCCCCGCGAAGAAATCAGCCGCGTCAAATTTGAGGAAATCGTTGTGTTTCCGACGGGCGCTTCTTATCTGCCGCAAGACCTGGATTGAGATTCGCAAGACAAACGGCGCGCCGTCGAAGGGCCGCCGCAACTGTGCTTTGACCCAGCGTCCTCGCGCCCCCATGGAAAAGCGAGAGGCAGCGTGGATGTTCCTGTATCGTTCCTCCTGGCGGCTTGTGCGCCTTGCATTTATTTTGTTCCGCGAGCGAGAAAGGGGGAATTGGCGGCCATCCCTGAAGTCGATCGGCCTGCGCTCGATTGCCTCTGCGACAGACTCGCGCTCGAAAGTGTCCTTCTGCAGCATGTCGGGGCTGGCGGTCCGAATGCGTGCTTTCTCGTGCCAGTGGAAACCACAATTCAGTTCTGAAATTTCACGAATGCCTGCGCGATCTACCAAGTCCGAGGCAGCGCGGTGAGAGGCTACCTGCAGCACTTGTTTGAGATCGTACTCGCGACAATTGCGAAGTCGGAATTAACCGTCAACTTTCTGTCAATTCTGCCGAGTGCCATCTTCGCGTTATCCAATCCTTGTTAGAGGCGTTGGCCACGGCGCCAGGACAGATTCCGACGGCGAGTTAAAAGGGGCGTGCAGCTCTTCTGTAGGCACCAAGTGCATCTCGCCTGGGAGGGGCTCTCGCGCCGCGACGCCGTCTGAGGACAGTTCGACGGGGCGGTTGCAGCTGCGTCGCTCCAGACGCGGCGACGGGCGACATCGTCATCCGCATACATTTCCACGCAGCATGAACCAGCAGGCTAGGGCCCGGAGGGCCCACCGCGCCACTTACTAACCAACGCGGTGCCACAGCTGACAGCAGGGCCGCCACCCAGTTCGCTGGCAAAGTTTCGCGCAACAGCAAGCAATGACGTTGCGAAGCCGCGCGGCGCCGTCGCCAGGGCAAGCAGCGAAATCGGGCGAGTTGGAATTGCGCGGACAGGCCCAATGTATGCTCGTTGGGGCCCCCCAGATAGCGGGGGTAACGCTCCTTCGATGTTCCGACCTCATCCGCCACCCTCTCACCGGCCACGCGCACCATCGGCGCTGTGAGTTGGTGCCCGTTGTGGGGTGACTCCAATCAGGTCCTTCATTTTTTGCGAGACGCGTGGCCTTTTCTGCCGAGACCTTGAGCCGCGAACGCGCTGCGACGCCGCGGCCCACCGCCGGCGTCTGACAGCGTGGTCAGACTCGCGCGGGATGCCCGACAACGTCCGCATCGTGGCTCATGTTGCCATCGAACACGATTAGTCCTAGAGGCTCACCACCCGCCGGCCTGGCGCCCCACTCCGCGGCCGAGATTGGGCACCATTCGCAGTGCACCAGGTGGGCGGTAGCCGCTGAGGGCTGGCCCCTCGCGCGGCGCCCGCGCAGGGGCCGGCGAGCGCAGCGCCCTTGTCGGCCAGGCCGGGCGCGCGCCCGCCGCGGCTCCGAGAACCGCGTCGATGGGCCGAGTCTCAGGCGTTCGCGCGGTCTACTGTGGCTGGGGCCCCGGCCGACGAAGCGCAAGTCCAGGTCGCGGACCGAGGCCCGGCAACGCCCGGGCTTCGCCGAGCTGGCCGTGCTCCCCAGGCGACGCCTCATGCGCGGCGCGGCCGTGTCCGAGACCTCGCGAAATGGGCGCCCATCCCGCAGACTGGGCCCCCGCTGCCTCCAGCCGCGCGGCAGGTTCGCGGTGGCGAGAGGCCTTGGCGAAGCGGGCGGCGCGGTCGCGCGCGGCGGCGCGCCCCCCCCCCCCCCCCCCCCCCCCGCCACTTTTCTCCGGGTGGCTCTGGCGCGGCGAACGGGGTCGCCGCGATGCCCTTCCACTCGAGGCTGGGCGCGTGACTTGGCATCGCGATGGTCTGAGTGCGACATCGCGCGCTGGCTCGCCGCCAGTAGGCCGTGCCGTTGCAGGCGCTTTCCAGTCTGGGGCAGTGCCGGCGCCGGCCGTACCCCCGCGAGTTGCCCCGGGCCGACGACGCAGCGCGCTGGGCCGTCGATCCACGAGGACACGGCGACCACGGGGCGCGCCAGCGTCAGACGATCCAGCGCGTCGCGGGCCATGCATCGCGCGAAACTAGACGGGGCGCGCGGCCATTTGATCACGGCGCGGGTTGGTTGGGGCGCCCCGGCAAGCGGCCATCTTGCGCCAAACATTTGGGATTCTCCATTTGCTCAGCTGCATCTATGTAGAAGAAATGGGTGGCGGGGTGCCTGAAGCCAGCGCCGTCTTGATGAATCGGCGCCAGCGCGTGCAGTCATGGGAGCTCTGAGTGTCGATGAGGCCGTGACTGGACGCCGCGGGCCCTGTGAGTCGGTCGAGCAGCATTATTCCGCTTGCCGCGGCCGCGCGTCGCCCGCCCCTGCCGCCGCGAGCGAGCGCGGCTTGTAGACCACCTGTTCGGCGCGCGGCTGCGCCCGATGGGCAGCTTCGCCGAGCGAGAGACCCATGCGCGGCGCCAGCTCATGTGAGGCCGCCGCTGGATATCGCCTGGGGTTGTGTTGGTCCAGTTCGTTGCCCCCCCCGTGGATTCTGCTGTCGCCTGACCGCGTGATCTGCGATCTCCATGGGGTGGTGGAGACATGTCACGCGCCTGCCAGGGGCGGCGGTGTCCCGATGTCCTCGGGCAGGAGGTCGATTGCGCCATCTGCGACGGCCCAGGAATGAAGCACATCGAGGTCAGCGCGTTGGGCTTGCCTTCGAGCCCCGCGGGGGCGCCCGCAACGGCGCCGAGTGGCCCCTGGAGATGCGGCGGCGCGCCCCGCGCCGTTGCGCGCTGTGTATTACCGTGACTTTTTCGAGCCCCGGCTCTCTCGCCCCCCCCCGCCTTCCTATCGGTCGGAGGGGGGGGCGGGGGGCGGGGGGGGGCGAATTGAGGTTGGGCCGCCCTAAAGATAACTCGCCATTATTTTGGTGATTCGCTGCGACCGAGCCCGAGGTTTTCTTCGTCGGCTCTCCGCGCGGCAGCGCTGCTGCCCATTCGAGCTGCTCGACGGGCGACGGGCCCCTCGCGGGAGCCGGCGCCTTCGAGCGGCTCGTGCGCGACGGCTGCGCGCCGAAGGGCGCCTGCGAGACGGCGCGCCTCGGTCGCGGCTCGCTCGGGCTGCTGCCCTGGTCGCTCTTCGCCCCGGTGAGCGACCCGACCGTGGATCAGGGGGGAGAGGAGGAGCTGGGCGCGATCGAGGCTTAGATGCCAGTGGGGCCAGGGGCGCGCAGGTTCTATCGCCGGACGGCGACCGACGGTATCGAGGTGGAGCTGGTGCGACGGAAGAGTGGGGACATCTGGGGGGCCCTCGCCCCCGACCTGGGTCCCGGGCTGATCTGCATCACCGCTCTTCGCGGACCCAGTGGCGGGGATTCGTTGGGGGCCCATGCTGCCGTTGAGTGCGTCGCAGCGCGGCGCCTACCTCCAGCCGGCGACGGATGGGGCGCGTGCGGGGACGGTCTCCACGCTACCGCTCCATCGCCTGGATCGCGCGGGCCAGCAGGCGATCGCGGCGAAGGTGCTGTGCGCGTTCTTCAGCTCGGGCGCGTCTTCTCCCAAGACTTTGAGGCGTTATTTTCTCGAGGAGTCTGAGGCGATTCCTGGGCGCGCTGGCCGCCGTGTACGCGTTGAACGAGGCTCTGGCGCTGCCTGGGGTGATCGAGCACATGAAGGAGGCGTGGGTGGCTCTCGTGACTTACCTGGCTTTGGCGAAGGCTGCCTTCGTGGAGAGCTCGGGCGTCGTGCAGGAGTGGATGAGCTACCTCTTCGAGTGGGAGGAGTGGGCGCAGAAGCTGATGCCCTTGCAGCGTCAGCTGGCCATGGTCGTCGCGATAGTGCCCCTCGCGGGCTGGGCTGCGCACGAGTGGTCCGACCACGCGGAGCCAGGAGAGTCCTCGATCGGATCATCGTCGGCCTCGAGTGTGGACGTGGCCGTCGGCTACGCTTCGCCCAGGCCACAGCCCTCGCCGTCGCCCGCGCAGCCTTCTGCCGTGGACGCGGCCTGCGTCGCCCAGCTGAGCGACGTCGCCGAGCCCCCGAAGGCTATGATGGAAGAGATCAGCGAGACGAGGACGGCGGAGCGGACCCGGGAGTTGCGTCGAGACGTGCTGGATTCGCCCTTCGAGTCGCGCGATCGTGCAGCGGGGGAGGCGAATCGCCAGGTGATCGAGCGCATGACTGCTCGCTCGGACAAGTTCGAGGCCCGCTTGCAGGGGGGGCCCCAGCCGAGGTGAGCGTCGAATATCGGATAGCTGCTATCAAGGGTCCAGGTGCTGCGTTGTCGGGCGGTGCGACAGCGGGCTCGCCAACCGACGTCCAGGCCGATCTCGATGGTGACGCCGGAGAAGAGAGCGGCGCTCAGCGCCCCGGAGGCGGCGGCGCTGGCCATCAAGTGGATGCCGTTCACGGCCCAGCTGCCGCAGCATGTGTTCATGGAGCAGTTGGAGGGCTATCAAGATCCCCGCCGATGAGTGGAACATCCGGATGCCCGAGGGGTATCGTCAGCGGATCTCCGCGGAGGTGTTGTCGGAGATCTACTCATCGGGGAAGACGGCGGAGGCGTGGGCTCGAGACTTCGCGCGGGATCGTGGGTAGACAGAGTGCAGCACCGTTCGGGAGAGGATTGCGGCAGTCGCGGCGGTGGACACGATGCTGATAACGGGCCGTCAGAAGGGGCTGCTCAATCTGGTGAGCATCGAGCGTCTGGTGCGCAAGGGGTACGCCATTGTGCGAGCGTGCCGCAACGTTCAGAGCTGCGACGACTGGGGCCGCCCCAAGGACGCCAAGGGCTGGAGGTCGAAGCTGGACTGGGAGGCGGCTCAGCGGCTGGACCCTCAACTGGCGGACGAGTGTACGATTCGGCTGATGTCTGCCGATGATGAGGTGAAGAAGGCCATGGGCCCGGACGCGCAGCTGCTGAAGGCGCGGGCCGACCTGGACTGGGGCTCGGCGGCCCCGCCGTGACGACCAAGGAGCTTCAATTGGGGCCGCTCAGCTCCGTGTTGGCTGGCCCTTGCAGCTGGCGGGGCTATCGAGCACTGCGCCAGCGTCTTTTGTTGCCTCTAGTTTCTCTGCTGCAGCTGACGAGTGACATATTCGTCCGTTGCCGCGTGGGCCAGCGCGCGACGAGTTGGGTTTTCGATGTCTCGGCGGCGCGACGTCCTGTCCGAGGTGGCGTTGTCCTCGTGTCCAGAGCGCCCGAGCTCGACGTCTCGTCGGGTCTTGTCGCGATGGAAGGAGGCATGGAGACCCTTCGGCGGGCCAGCTGCTCTTGCTTGGCGCCGCGTCAACTCTGCCGCCGGAGCTTGGGCGACAGTCTTCTGGAGCTGGTCGAGTGCTGGGGGCAGGGGGCGATGCCCGACAACCTGGACAGGGACCTCTCTCGGCGGGTGCTTGGGGCGGTTCGTCGCCAGCAGCCGCCGCCGCCGCCGACGCCCGGATGCTGCGGCTGCGCCCCGCCGCCTCCGCGGCGGGCAGTCAGTCCCAGTCAACTTTCAAGCAGAGGCAGGCCGAACTAGGAGGAGCGATGGCCTGGGCGTGCGGCTGCCAGACAGGGGCGAGACGTTCCTCGCCCAGTGGGATCGGGTCGCCCTACCTCCCCCGGGGACCAGACCCGCGAGCGCGAGGTCTGCGTCGCCTCGTGATCGCAGCGGAACGGAGCCCCCCAACTGGGGCATCGTTTTGTTTCGTTTGTGTCGTGCGCGCGGGCGACGCCAATCTGCGCGGGCGCGCGAGAGGACTGAACCCGCTGTTGCTAGGGCAAAGTCATGACACGTGATTATCCCCCGCCCCCCCGTCCGGCGGTGGCTCGCGGTGTCCCGCAGTGTCCCGCGGCGTCCCGTGCTGTCCCGTGGTGTCCGCCGTTGCTAGGGCGAAGTCAAGACAATTGATTCCCCTGCGCCCGCCCGTCCGTCCGACCGTCCGGCGGTGGCTCACGGTGTCCCACGGTGTCCCGCGGTGTCCCGTGGTGTCCCGTTGAGTGGGATCGATCGTGAAATCGATACTGAGGTCGACGCAGCGCCCCGAGGTGTCCCGCGGTGACCGTGGTGCCGAAAAAAGTGTGATCGATAGTGAGATCGATAGTGAGATCGACAGGTGTCCCGTGGTGTCCCGTTGAGCGAGATCGATAGTGAGATCGATAGTGAGATCGATGTGGTGCCCCGACCTGTCCCGCGGTGTCCCGTGGCTCCCTGAAAAGCGAGATCGATAGTGATATCGATAGTGAGATCGACAGGCGTCCCGAGGTGTCCCGTGGTGTCCCGTTCAGTGAGATCGATAGTGAGATCGATAGTGAGATCGATGTGATGTCCCGAGGTGTCCCGTGGTGTCCTGTGGTGCCCCGTTGAGTGAGATCGATAGTGAGATCGATGGTGTGACCGAAAGTGAGATCGAGAGGTGTCCCGCGGTGGCCCGCGGTTCGATAGTGAGATCGATGGTGAGATCGACCAGTATCCCGTGGTGTCCCGCGGTGTCCCGTGCTGCCCCGTTGAGTGAGATCGATAGTGAGATCGCTTGAGTCAGACGTTGGCCCCCCCCCCCCCTCCCCTTCCCCCCCGCAACCGCCTTATTGTCCGAAGAGTAGTCGTGTAGGTATATGTATAAACGGATGCGCTTGAGCTGCTACGAACTCGTAAAGCAGCCATGAGTACTGCGAGGTGACCATCATTTTTTCCAAATGCGCCTCTCGCGATCACGTCGAGATCGCTCGAGCGCCCCAGTGCGAGCACTGTCGCAATAATCTCTCTCAACAAATGAGACGGAGCACGCGCGCCCGCGCGTCGTCGCGCGCGCGCCCAGGTCCTTCAACACCATTTTAGGTTTCGCGAGGATTTCACATCGGGCGCCCCGAAAACATTTAAAACACACACGGTTTTGACGCTTTTTTTCGAAAGAGCAGAAAAGCGCGCGCCCGACGGCTTCTCGCGCGCGCAAGTCGAAATCGTTCGAACGCGCCTGCGCGCGCGCTGTGACGCTCGACCCCTGTTAAAGAGTACCACGTGGGCCATTCGCTCGCGCCGGCCGCGCGAGCGCGTCGAAATCCTCATCGCATGCTTCATCGCCGGCGCGAGGGTGTCATCATCGCCCCTGGCGCGATCAGCATCGGCGCCGTCATTGGACTTGTCGTCGTCATTATCGTCATCGCCACCGCCATCGCTGCTATCATCATCGCGTCTGCCGCAGTCGATGTCGCCGCGATGCCGCGCCCGCCCGAGCCGCTGACTCGCGCCCGTGAGTTACCGCGGCCAGCGAGACGTGCTTGGAGGCAGCCAGCGGCTCGCGCCATCGCGGCCGCGTCGGTCGTCTCTGACTAGCTGACTAGCTGGCCACTGCGCACGCTAGCATGCGCGCTAGCGCGGCCGAGGCGATGCGCCAGCCAGTGCCTAGCTGTCATCGCAGCCGCTGCCGCATGGGTCATGGGCCATCGCGACCTCCGCCGCATGGGCCGACGCAAACCACGTTGCTGGCGGGCGGGCGGGGGGATTGCGCGAGCAGTGGAGTTCGCGGCCCACTGCGAACCCCAACAGTTTCATTGAATAGAGAGCGTGACAACATTTGCACAACATAGGTTGCGCTACATACCACTGGATCACATAGGTCACGGTAGTGAATGAACGCGCATTCTTAAAACACATGATTGAGAACGCGATGATTTACTAAAGCGAGAAACGGATGTATGAAATAGCGCCGCCCAGTCAAAACAAGGCGCACATATCATTTGGTAAACGCAAAACCCGGCTTTAACAGATGTCCGACATCAGAAGCCGTTTCACGAAATCCCAGATATTACCACTACCGTGAACTGAGTGGCTCGATCAGTATATATATATAAATATATATATATATATACATACATACATATACATATATATATACATTGCCCCACACATGCACATCATATAGCGCGCACCACATTCAGGTCCCTTTCTAAAAGGGAATGTGGGTATCCGCCCTCCCCGGGCTTCGCGGCCCCCCTTTTCGCATTGTTTTTTCCAAGTGATTCCGCGCTCTCGCCCGTCCCCAATATGAGCGCATGCCGCCCAAGGCAACAGTTGATCGAGCCCCACTTATCCCCCGCAAGAGGTACTGCGCGCGGGCACTCGTTTATCGCACATCATTATTTCTCAAACATCCCGAGCAACAAACGTGGCGAAGTGCACGCGCGACCGCTGCCTCATGACGTTGCAAACAAAGTTGCAGGCGGGCCTCGCGGACTTTTGCGCGAGCCCTGGGGCCGACACTTTCAATTTCGGCAGGGTGAAGTGCACCGCGTAGATTGTACCACATGGGTTGCATAACGCGCATTGTGCCACAGCGATTCTCTTTCCGGCCGCATTTATCGGGTCAGCCTCCCTTCCCCCCCTCCGAGTTCTCAATTCCCTTTCGCGCGCTGCAATATGCATGTGAGTTTGCCGTCCATCTAACTATGGGTTCATATCACCCCAGCTAAACTCGTCCCCCTTCGTCCCATGCGAAAAACAGTAATGCAGTATGCGCGCACGTTCGTTTATAGAGAAACAGTTTTCAATGTCCTTTGCAGCAAATGGGACGAAGTTCGCGCGCTTCGTCGCGCGCGCATGCCGAAGTTGTTCAAACTTGCATGTTTCGGAATTGCTTCAACACTGAGTGCCCCGACTTTCGTTTTGGACAACAAACACAACAAACAACAACACCAACAACAACAGCAACAACAACACACACACATGGTTTCGCAACAAGGATGTTCAAAACAAGTTTGCGCCCGGGCTCTTGTGAATTCGTAAGACAACCGTGGATGTTTCAAAAGTGTCCGAACACGCTACCCAACAGGCTTTTCGCGCACGCATGTCGGAATCGTTCGGACGCCTTGGTGCGCGTGTTGTCGCAAGAATCCCTTGCGGCAAATGGGACGAAGTGCGCGCTCGCGCGTAGTCGCGCGCGCGTACCGAAATCTTTCAGCAACCCCCGCGCCCCGCAACGATTTCAAAATCGAGCGCCCCGAACACATGTGAACACATGGTTCTGTAACATCTGTTTTCAAGAATGCGTGCACTCGCGCCACTGCGGTTCGTTCAGGAAGCTATCGATTGTCAACATTTCCAGTGCATTCTGCCAAACGACATTCTCGCGCCGAACGCCGAAATCATTCGAACGCCCTTGCGTGCGTGCTGGGGGGGTCACGATCCGAGTCAAAAAAAACCATGCGGGCCACTCTCGCGCGTCGGCCGCGCGCGCATGCCGAATTCCCTCCAAAACCTGCATCACCGACGCGAGGACGCCGTCAGTGTCGCTGGCATGATCAGCATCGGCGCCGTCATTGGCCATGCCGTCGTCGCAGTCATCATCGTCACCAGCATCGCTACCATCAGCATCGTCTTTACCATGTGTCGACGTTGCCATGATACCGCGGCCGACCAACCCGCCGACTCGCACTGAAATGCCCGCGGGGAAATGCCCAGCGGCCAACGCCACCGCGGCCGCGTCGGTCGCGCCAGAGTAGCTGGCTGCTGCGCGCGCGAGCCTGCGGGCCGCGGAGTCACGCGAACCAACACCAAACACTCATCGCAGTCGTTTCCGCATGGGTTTTGCAAACCAACCGGCCGGTGGGTGGGAACGTGGGATGATTGAGCGAGGCGTGGAGCTGACAAGTTGAAGTTCGGCGGGGCGAAGTGCATCCCGCATGTTGCACCGCGTAACGTTCACAACCTATATTGCACAACACATGTATAAACATACATACTTACCACATACGTACATACATACACATACCGGCAGACAGAGACCGACAGACAGACAGACAACACGCGCATCTGTATATATATATATATATATACACGCATGCATAGGTATATTCTAAACAACTAGGCCGGGCCCCCTCCTGGGGCGTCCTCCGCCTCGCTCAAATTTGGTGTACGCTCCCGGTACCGCGCTTCCCGGCCCGCCGGGGAGCTCCCAAAATGCTCAAAGGCAGCCCAAGAAGGCCCCCCCAAAACCCTGCAACGTCAAAGAAATGCTCAAGACGTTCCCAAGGGATAGCTTTCGGGCGGCTCTCCAGGCTCCCAGGAGGCTTCCAAGAGACCTCAAGGGAGCTCCGAGAGGCCTTCCGAGAGCGCCCGGAGAACCTAATATCGTTTTTTTTTGGGGGGGTTTTGAAATTGTTGTTTGGCCTTCTCACTATTTCATGTTTCCAACGCTCCAAGACGGCCGAAGAGGCCCCCAAGACCGCCCAAGAGGACCCCAATACGGCCCCAAGACGGGCCAAGGCGGTCCCAACATTGCCGCAAAGGTACCCAGGACAGCTCCAGACCACCCCAGAACAGGCCCAAGATGAGCCCAAAAGCGGGAGCAGGAGACCGCCAGAGACCTCCGAGAGGACTTCGGGATCCCCCAGAGGCATCCAACAGACCCTTGAGAGGCCCCCAAAAAAGCGCCGACGAGGCCCCCACAACAGCCCAAGAGAGCTTCGAAAGCCGTCCCGAGAGAGCCCGAAAAGGGTCAAAACGTTGATTTCGTGAGATTTTCGTAGACTTTGTCCGTCTTCTCACGTTCTCCGTTTTCCAACGCTCCAAGACCGAGGAATTTGAGGAGGAAAAAAGAAGAAGGAATTTCAGATATTCTTGTTTCCAATTCAATGAATGTGCGCCCCCTCCTCCCGGGTGTTTTACACCTTCCCGGAACATTTGCGGAACGCTCCCGGTAACGCGCTGCACGACCTCCCGGGGAGCCCCCAAAACGCCCAAGGACAGCCCAAGACGACCCCAAGAAGCCCCCAGAACGTCAAAGAAAGGCTCAAGACGTTCCCAAGCAATCCGGGATAGTTTTCGGGCGGCTCTCCAGGCTCCCAGGAGGCCTCCAAGAGACTTCAAGAGAGCTCCGAGAAGCCTCCCGAGAGCGCCCTGGGAACCTAAAATCGCTAGTTTTTCTAAGGTTTGATTTCAGGGTTTTTGGCCTTCTCACCACTTCGTGCTTCCAACGCTCCACGACGGCCGAAGAGGCCCCCAAGACCGCTCCGAGACCGCCCAAGAGGACCCCTAGACGGGCCAAGACGGCCCCAAGACTGCCGAAGAGGTACCCAGGACAGCTCCAGACCACCCTAGAACAGGCCCAAGATGAGCCCAAAAGCGGGAGCAGGAGGCCTCCAGAGATCTCTGAGAGGATTCCGGGACCCCCAGAGGCATCCAACACACCCCAGACCTTTGAGAGGCCCCCCAAAAATGCACCGACGAGGCCCCCCAAACAGCCCAAGAGAGCTTCGAGAGCCGTTCCGTGAGAGCCCGAAGAGGATAACAACATTGATTATCATTTCTGTTTGTAACCTTGCTTGTTCCGCCTTCTCACATTTTCCGTTTTCCAACGCTCCAAGACCGAGGATTTTGAAAACAAATAAGGAGCTCCATATTTCAATTAAATGAATGCGTGCCCCCTCCTCCCGGGGGTTACACACCTTCCCTGGACATTTGCTGCACGCTCCTGGTAACGCGCTGCCCGACCTCCCGGGGAGCCCCCCAAACGCCCAAGGAGAGCCCAAGACGACTCCAAGAACCCTTCAGAACGTCAAAGAAAGGCCCAAGACGCTCCCAAGCAACCCAGGATAGCCTGGAGGCCTCCCGAGAGCGCCCTGAGAACCTAAAATCGTTACTTTTTCTTTGTTATTGTTTCAGGGTTGTTGGCCTTCTCACCACTTCATGCTTCCAGCGCTCCAAGACTGCCGAAGAGGCCCCCAAGACCGCCCCGAGACCGCCCAAGAGGACCCCTAGACGGGCCAAGACGGCCCCAAGACTGCCGAAGAGGCACCCAGGACAGCTCCAGACCACCCTAGAACAGGCCCAAGATGAGCCCAAAAGCGGGAGCAGGAGGCCTCCAGAGACCTCTGAGAGGACTCCGGGACCCCCCAGGGGCATCCAACACACCCCAGACCCTTGAGAGGCCCCCAGAAATGCGCCGACGAGGCCCCCAAAACAGCCCAAGAGAGCTTCGAGAGCCGTCCCGAGAGAGCCCGAAGAGGGTAAAATCGTTGCTTTCTAGGGTTTTTTGTCGACGCTTTTCGCCTTCTCACGTTTTCCCGCTTCCAATCTTCCAAGACCGAGGATATATATATATATATATATATATATACATATATGTGTGTGTACATATATGTATATATATATATATATATATATATATATCCAGAGACACTTTTTTCAAGTTGGGACGTCTACTCCCTATCCTCGTCTTCGAGCCCCATCAAGACTTCGGGGTCACATGCAAAAATGTTTCGGGAATGCTGTTGAACTCTCTGACGCTGTCTTGGTACTCTCTTGTATCGTCTTCGTGTCGTCTTGGCTGCCCCTGAAACCATTGTAGAAATCGAGATTCCATGATCCCATGAGTTGAAGCAGTGGAATTTTAGACATTTTTTTTTACACTCACTCCCTGTTTGTTTTTGCCCGAAGACCCCGAGAGGCATCCCAACAGACCGTGGCCTGCATGCAGAAAACGTCTAACCCACAGCCCAGGCACTACAATTTGAAAACATGTGGAATCCCACCTTTACGTTTTTCTCAAGTTCGTTTTTTTTATTCTTGCACAACAGACCACAATTAAGGCCCCAGACAAGGGCCCAGGGAGCTTTCGAGGGCCCCAAATCGTTGTATACCTAACGGCAATTACTGAGTTTTGCGTTTCCGCAGTCCCCCTTCTATACGATTCCGAGGCTTGCGCAGGGCCTCCAAGAGAGTCCCTGGATGCAAGAAACGATAAGGACAATATTCCATGTGTTCGCCCAGCAAGCCTAGCTAGAACTTGAGCGCGCGCGAAGCGCGCGATGGTTCTAGTATATATATATATATATGTACATATATATGTGTATATATATATATATATATATATATATATATAAGCGCACGTCTTGTTTCAGGCCCACGATGGTTAACTTTTTTCATTGACTGCAAACGAGCCACTTCGGGCGCAAAGGTGATTTACAAGGAGCATCGATTGCAAGGCGCTGATCAGGGCCACCCGCTCTAGAGTCATGATGTCGCGAATTTCCCGAGCTTGGGGGGGAGGGGCGGGAAAGGCAAGGGAGTCGGAAAAGGGTTTCATTTTGGCCGCGCCTGGCCCACGTCCCGTACAGTCCAAATGTGGGGCTAAAGGGCTAACGCTGATTTCGAAAACGAGTTGGTGTTCCTTAAGCATCATGTGGGCCTCCCTCTAGCGCTCGTACATCTAGGCGCAATTGAGGCCCACAGGGGCCTTGGTCTGATTCCGAACGGAAGCCCCCTGATGGCAAAGCCTTCGTTGTACGGGTGGCCCGTGCGTCCTGACCAGAGGATAGGGAGATGTTCCTCGCGTCGACCGCCGTCACGATGGACGAGTCCCTGAAATTCGCGGTCTGCCTGTGCATAACCCTCTTGCAGCTGTCCTCTGGCAGCCTGCCGAGAGGGGGAGGCTCCGTCGCTTCCGCCTTCCAGAGGCTCCCGAGGGGGCGAAGCGTACCCAGGGGCAGGCGCACTCCGGAGAGGGGGCCCCCGCGGCCAACCCCGGGACGCCCGTGCTGCTGCGACAATTCCTATGGGAGTGCGTCGGCCTGGGGTACGTTTGGGCCTTCCCAAGGCTCGTGCTCACGAGGGAGGGCGCCATGATGGCGATCCCGGTGCCCGCGCGCCGCCAACTCGCAGTGGGGGTGGTACGGAAGTCCATGGAGTGCCAGGGCGTCCGAGCAAGGGGACAACGATCGGCAGCATTCGGGGCTCATCTTTGTGTCGGTAGGCGACCATGGCGTAGGCGGGCAAGGTTGAACGCCGCCAGTGGGTTGGAATTCGCCGATCATATCGAAAGATCTGCCCTGTCGGAAAGGCGCGATCGTTCAAGGGTGAACGATCCGCGCGGCGTCAGAACAGAGCGATTCGGGAAGAAGAGAAGAAGAGTTGGTCCTGGGGGAGGGCCCCAGGTCCCTCAAGGATCCGTTTCCTTCGCTTGCAAATCTTGGGAGTTTTGTAGATCTGGGTGGTCATGCTTTGAGAGTGCATTAGCATCGAATAGCGTTTGGTAATCGGTGAGACAGCGCCGATCTAGCGTCGATTAGCGTCGACTTAGCGTCGATCAGCGACGATTCGCAGGAGCCAACCAGATGGTATGGGAGGCTGCCATGAGTTGCCGCAGAACCAGGTCCCTCAGGACCCGCTTCCTCCTGCCAAGCTCTGTGGCAGGGCTCGCTGTCATTCACGGCGGCTGCCGGCTGCTTCGGGGTGAGCGCGAGTTTCGAGCTTTGCCTTGGCTTGGCCGTCGCTGATTTCGGCCACTGCTGTGCCGTCGGGCCTCGTCCCCATATCGATGCTTCCCACCTCTTGCGGGCGAGCCTGGAGCAGCGAGGGAGGGGAGCGAGGGAGTGGAGCGATGGGAGCCCCCTCCGCCCTCTTTCGAGCGAGGAAGAACCACCTGCATGAATACAAACTTCAGGAGATCCGCGCGGATCTGCGCTGGGTCCCACTGGCGCGCCAGGGAGGGGGTGCCGGCGCAGATCCAAGACATTCGCGCGGACCGTCGACCGTTGATGTCTACGCCGTTTTTTCTTCATCTATCTCCTCTACCCGCCTCTCCCCTACCTCCCGTAGCCGTTTTGGCTCAAGCCATTGTGGCTCAAACCAGCTGGGCAGCAGCAACGCAGTAGCCCTGGCCCATGCGGCGCGCACCGGCAGAGCCGGCGCGAGTGGCGCCAGTCGTGGGTTGGTGGGTAGGGTTCGCGCTTCAGACTGGAGCTAGCCTTCGGCAATGGCCGAGGGCAAGGGCAAAGACATCAGGTTTAGCAATAACCATAGCAAGAGCATGAGCTAGAACAAGCGCAGTGGAAGGGCGAGCAAAGATCTTTCCCTTCAGGGTCGAAGGCAGTGGCCCCATGAGTGCATCCCCACCTTCGTCATCATAGATGACGAGCCAAGCGGCTTCCTCGGCACACGGGGGCTCAAATACCCAGGACACGATGGACAGCGGCGCCGAGAAGGGCAGAAACCCCATCGTTGTCGCGTACATCCGCATCCAGAACATGGAGGGCATCTCCAGCATCTCCATCCCTCCAGTCCCCAGCTCGTGGACGAGGGCAGGGGCTTTACCGATGGGCACGTCGAGAGTAGCCGCTCTATCGATCCACGATAGGGAGGGCAGCGCTGCCCAGGGTGGAGGCGGCGTGGTCACCATCGACGTCGAGAGCGGTGGCCTCAGCGATAGCATAACCCCCACGCTCCAGGACAAAAAGAACCAGTTGAGCCGCCAGCCGTAGGGTTGGCGGCTCGCGGAAGAGCGTGCTGGCGTGCTGCACTGAGTGCCGCGCCTCGTCAGGAGTTTCTTTGCCCCTCGGCGGGGATGGGGCGCCCCAGCAGTATGGGGGCGGGATGCACCGAAGACAGAGGCTGCCGACCTCAGCCACGGAAAGAAGTGCTGCGCGGGGGGGTGCAGCAGGGGCCGGTGCAGGTGTAGTCCTCGCTTGGTTCACGCCCTTCGATTCGATCTTTGTGCTGGCCCCTCCTCTATCCCCCTCCTCCCACGTCCCTCTCCTCGTTCCACATCCGCATCATTATCCTCCCTCCTCCCACCTGCTCTCCAAGAGGGGTAGGGAGGGCGGGAGAGAGGGAAGGGCAGGGCAAGGGAAGCGTGGGCGAGGACCAGGGACGAGGTGGCCGTGCGACGGTCCGTCGCCGCTCCGCCGCGTCCAGCGCTCCCTCAGGGCCTGGGGCTCTCCCCCAGACCCCCCACCCCCTTCCGTTTCCATCTCCCTCCCACGGACGGTCAGGGGTGGAGGCGCGGGCGGGGACCATTTCGGAATTTAAGATGGGGGGGGGGCGTAGAAGCTGACAAAATCCAAAAGGTTGATAATATTTATTGTGTCATGCAGTCTCAGGCTGCTTGTGTCTTTAGGGCCGTCTTGGCAGGGCACCCAGACCCCTAAGAGGCCTTAGGGGAGCCCCACATGAGGTCCCGACTCCCTACTGCTTCCGTGTCCTCCTGTGCTTTCTCCTCAATCGCCGCTCCTCCTCCTGCTCCTCCCTCTTCCTCCCTCGCCTCCTCTCTTCCTTCCTCTCCTCCAGCCAAAGACAGCGGAGGGTGTGCGCAGTTCGGAATATACACGTGCACACGATTGCATACGAGACAGTGCGGGGAATATATCGAAACGTGTATAACCAAAGGGTAAACATACATGGACGCAACGTACATGATCGGCGTGGAGCTATGACTGGGAACGCTTGAGCCCGTTCGGAAAACCTCCCGGCGATCACGGGCGTGACCGGCCCCGCCCCCCCCCTCCCTCACGTCATGGCGGTCGTCCAGTGGCGACCGCGGACGTCCTGTGGCGCTCGCAGGCTACTGTGGTGTTCAGAGACACGCTGTGGTACTCGCGAGGGGAAGCGGTAGCGTGCGTGCCGCGTGGTGCTCTCAGGGACGCAGTGTTTTCTGTTTCTGAGAAGCATTGGTGCGTCGGTCGTAGCGCGGCGCTCGTAGCTGCCAGCGCTGTCGTGTATACAGGCACTGGAGCTCCTCCTCCTCCTCTTCCTCATCCTCCTCCTCTTCGTCCGGCCTTTCTGATTTGAGTTTTTTTGTATCCGGTATCGATTCGTTGACTTTTGGCCTCCCGGCGCCCTGGGTGGGCCCATCCAGGAGCTTTCTTGAGGCCTGGAACGGAACGATTCCAGTTTCTTTTGCATCCGGTCTCTATTCGCTGATTTTTTGGCCTCCGGGCGCCCTGGGCCCTTCCTGGGACCTTACGAGATCCGCCGCAAAAAGACTTTGATTGAAATCCTCCACGGAAGGACCCCCATTAATATCCTCCGCAGAAGGATTCCTATTGAAATCCTCGCAGGAGGAGGAGGGGGAAGAAATGAAGGAGGAGGAGGAGGACAGGGGGGGAGGAGGAGGAGGAGGAGAAGGAGGAGAAGGAGGAGGAAGAGGAGGAGGAGGAGGAAGAGGAGGACGAGGAGGGTGGAGCCTGGAACGCAACGACGACTGTTTGTTTGTAACCGGTATCGATTAGTAAACTTTCTGGCCTCAGGGTGCCCCTGGTCCCTTCGGGGGCCCGGAACGGAACGATTGGAGTTTATCTGTATCCGGTATCGATTCGTGTTTTTTTTACCCTCCAGGCGCCCTGGGCCCCTCCTGGGGCCTTCCTGGGGCTTGCAACGGAACGATTATTATTATTGTTATTATTATCATTATTAGTAGTAGTAGTAGTAGGAGTAGTAGTAGTAGTAATAGTAGGTAGTAATAGTAGGTAGTAATAGTAGTAGTTGTAGTAGTAGTAGTAGTAGTAGTAGTAGTAGTAGTAGTAGTAGTTGTAGTAGTAGTAGTAGTAGTAGGAGTAGAAGTAGAAGTAGTAGTACTAGTACTAGTACTAGTACTAGTACTAGTACTAGTACTAGTACTAGTACTAGTACTGTACTAACACTAGTACTGGTATTGGTACTGGTACTGGTACTGGTAATAGTACCAGTAGTACTAGTAGTACAAGGAGTAGTAGTGATAGTGATAGTTGTTGTGGTAGTGGTAGTGATGGTACTTGTGGTACTGGTGGTACTGGTGGTTCTGGTGGTTCTGGTGGTAGTGGTAGTGGTAGTGGGAGTGGGAGTGGGAGTGGGAGTGGGAGGAGTTGCAGTAGTAGTAGTAGTAGTAGTAGTAGTAGTAGTAGTCGTCGTCGTCGTCGTCGTCGTCGTCGTCGTGTTAGTAGTAGTAGTAGTAGTAGTAGTAGTAGTAGTAGTAGTAGTAGTAGTAGTAGTAGTAGTAGTAGTAGTAGTTAGTAGTAGTAGTAGTAGTAGTAGTAGTAGTAGTAGTAGTAGTGTAGTAGTAGTAGTAGTAGTAGTAGTAGTAGTAGTAGTAGTAGTAGTAGTAGTAGTAGTAGTAGTAGTACTAGTAGTAGTAGTAGTAGTAGTAGTAGTGTAGTAGTAGTAGTAGTAGTAGTAGTAGTAGTGGTAGTAGGAGTAGGAGTAGGAGTAGAGTAGTCGTAGTAGTAGTAGTAGAACTACGACTACTACTACCACTACTACTACTTACTACTTACTACTACTACTACTACTACTTACTACTACTACTACTACTACTACACTACTACTACTACTACTAGTAGTAGTAGTAGTAGTAGTAGTAGTAGTAGTAGTAGTAGTAGTAGTAGTAGTAGTAGTAGTAGTAGTAGTAGTAGTAGTAGTAGTAGTAGTAGTAGTAGTAGTAGTAGTAGTAGTAGTAGTAGTAGTAGTAGTGGTGGTAGAAGTATGTTGCGGCACCCCAGGCGCACCCCCGCCGTGACGTGATCGGCGGGGCGTCCCCGTCCCCCCCCCCATCACGCCCGTGACCGGCCCGAATACACGGATGGGCTCCTCGAACATGGACTTTAATGGTTTTGTTGTGCATTCAAAGTTTCGTATATGCGTTTGCGTTCAGGCGGTGGTGATGACGGTGGCTGTTGTGAAGTTCTGTATTTGATTGATGAGTTGCATGATTGAGTTGGGGCTTTAAGTTCTCTTGAGCCAAAATCTAGTGGATACGCCATTAAGGGAGGGAGCGGTAAGCGTCTTTTCTGTCGTAACATTTCCCCGGGGCGCCCGGGAGCTGGTCGACCGTTCGACGAGCCTGTCGATTATTTTGATCTTCTTCGTCTGGCTCCAATATCCTTCTAATCGTCTTGTTGTTTGAGGCGTTGCTGTACACACTGCAGAAGAATCTGCTGTATGTGGCGCTCTCCAACCTAGACGCTGGAGTTTACCAAGTCACCACAGGGGGTACAATGGCCACGGAGATGACGATGGCGGCACTGATCATATGGAGAAATGCGAAACCGTCGGATATTGTTTGATGTCTCTTGTACCTCTGTTTGTCCGCTCCTCTCGCAATACCGTCATATGTAGCTGCATGTTGTTGCTATTTCTCTTCTCTCCGCCTCTTTCCCTCTATTTCTCTCCTCCCTCTCTCTCACACTCCCCTTTTACCTCTACATCTACCTCTAGCCCTGCTTATACCCCCCCACCTTCGCCTCTACCTGAAGCTGTAGCTGTACCTCCACCTCTACTTCTACATCTGCCGTCACCTTTACCTCTGCCTCTTCCGCCATCTGTATCGCTGCCCCTCCTCTTCCCTCACACGAGTGGCCGCCGGCCAGAGCCAATGAGGCTGCCCGCCCCAGTTACCCCAGTAGACAAGCATAGTGCACGTTCCGGTAACACATAGGACCATGGTCGGGAGCTCCATCATCATTTGCATTCGTTGTTGTTGGTGTTGTTGTTGTTCGATATAGGCGTACACGTGATCACATGCTCCCTCAATCATTTTGAACATCCGAAGCTGATCACCCCAGTGGTACAAAGCTGACCACCCCAGTGGTGAGTTACATCGTTTTGGCAGGGATGGTGGAAGTTTATTGTCCGATGTATGTTGTCACTTGCACTGCTACGCCTGGCGCACTCTGCGCGTGTCTCGCACGTGGCGCATCTGGTGCACCAGGCACGCCTGGTTTTCTTGTGAACCTTGGGCACCTGGCCCGCTTGCGAGCATTGCGCGCCTGGCGTCTGCATTTGTTCGCAATGGCTGTCCATCGGATTGCGACCAGTGCATTTGTTGAGCCTCGGGTGTTGCTTATGCGGTGAGTGTGCGGGTGAGATTGCCGACGGCGTTCTTGCTAGCGCCTTGACACGTGACACCCACCCTTGCCCATACCCACGCCCATCTTATTATTCCCCGCTTGTGTTATATGAAGAAATCCTTCATCCGACTGGCCGTCGAACCGAAACAAATAAGCCCCCCTCTCCACCCGTCAAGCAGCACACATAACACAAATGCGTGCTGGTGCAGCCAGTGAACCATGTGCAGGCACCCTGCCGCCTTGTTGCATGATATGTTTGCAAGGGAAGGCGGCGATGGGATCATATGGTCTGTTGTGCCCTGCCCCGCATGTCCCGCCCGTGGCGGGTGTCCGCACCATGTGTGATTCTGACGACGCTGCCGGCATTTACTCCTCATTGTCTGTTGGCAGAGAGTGCGGAGGTGTCGTCGCATTGCCCGATGCGTGCTGCCACGTGCAGCGTGGCAGTCTGTACACGTGGGCAACTAATGCACATCAAGCTTTGCTCGCGTGTTGCGCTTGTGGTATTGGTGCACCTGTGTCGCCTGGGGCACCTGGCGCGTCTTATGCACCTGGGGTGCCTGCCGTGGGGGACATGGCGCACGTGGCACGCGTGGCCCACTTGGCATCAACCAATCTTTGCCCAGTGGATGGTGACCGTGCCGGTGCCTATGCCCATGGTG